AGAATAGAATAGAATAGAATAGAATAGAATAGAATAGAATAGAATAGAATAGAATATGCAGTTTCTGTCCGTCACTATTAATAAGGAAAAAATAAGTTTAATACTTTAGAAATATATGTAGAGATTTAGAGTTTTTAGAGAAAAAAAAAACATTAATAACTTACAGCACCCGCTGATTTCAGCAAATATGAAAAAAGATCATATACTGTACACTCATGCATTTTTACAGGGGTAAAGGATTAATTAGGGTCTAAAATCATATATGGGGTGGAACAGAAAGAACAAGACAGGATATTATTCTTTAAAGTGCTACAGAAAAGGACAAATATACAGAACAAATCGATTAAAACAGAATAGAAGAGAACAGAAACTTCAGACATTTTACGACTCCACCTCACAACTTCTACATTTATTTTTAAGGTAGGACTGATTAAACTACTCCATGCAGGACTGAATATCTGTAATACTGAGCCATTTTAAAGACATTTCATTAATTCATCTTCCTCACCGCCTTGAGTGACAGCTGATGTTCAGCCTCATCATCATCCAACTCAACTTTGTGCTCTTTCTTATCAGCTTTCAATGAGCAACCTAAAGGAACAAGACAAAACTTATGTTTTAGTCATTAATGTTGTATACATGAAGTAAACTTTAGAGGAAAAACAAACAACAACCAACATCCACATACTATACAACATCCTTTATAAAGGCTAGACACGAAATCATAGTAAACAAAAGGAGAAAATAAATACCCCTACACCTCTTGTCCACAATATGTTGGAAATAACAATGAAAATAACATTTGAGCTCATATGAGCATTAGGCTATAAACAAAGGCAAACGCAATGCATGAGGCTAGCTGCATTAGCCGCAACTCTTTTATTGCACTGCAATGCTGCAAGCAGACGCATGCCATATGATTGCTTAATACTGATAACCGCATATGTATGATTACGCAACATGAGGTTTTAATTCAGCTCACCAAATAAATACATCTGAGGTCGACTGAGATCCTTAATGTTATTCTCCATTTTTGCGCCACAGACAGAGGGTCCTGTTACCGTAGTTCCGGCGTGTGGATTGACACTTGAATGGACGAATGAAAGGAGAGTGGGCGGCTTTTGTTTGCTTTTTTTTTTCGTGCTTTCAGTACCCAATTTATCCGCCAGATGACGCCATACAATAATTATTCTGTATACTTGCTCTGTTCATCCATCCATCCATTCTCCAAACCGCTTGTCCTCTGTAGTCTTTTTTCCCAAAATAAAACTGTAGGTTTGTTTTAATATGAGCTAAATGCTTTATTATGATGATTTAATACAACTTGACATCAATCCCAATTTTAAAAAGTATTATTATTATTATTATTATTATTATTAAAATAATTATTATTTAAATACCAATAACATTATTGTCTTCCCAATCTTTCATCCAAATTTGATAACTTGCTCTGTTGCTGAAACAATCCAAATAATTCCCATATCAAGTCCTGTTAGGGTTTCTTGAATATCCTTTTTCATGATACCGTTGCATTGCATTAATACATAAAGTGTCTCAACTACCTCACAGATAGACTACCACTGAAATAGACAAGAAATTACACCTGTCTCTGTGACAAAACAAGGCTCTGTGAAAAGAAAAGGACGCTCTTTTTAGCCAATCAGAAACGCCTGTCAATCATTTTGCGACCCGGGTTTGGTGACATCGGGTTGGCTGGCAGGTCTCAAGAGGGCGGGATTTCAGAAAGCGCTTAATACAATTCAACCTGTTTTTATATGGTATGAATTCAACACATATGTAGCTGACTGAATTTATTAATTTCAATAAATCTAAATGACTGACGGAATGTCTCTGTTAAGTACACAAATTATAAAGCTGATTTGAGATCAGTTACAACTAGACGTTAAAGGGGGTCATTATATGACGTTGCTAAAAAAACATTATTTTGTGTATTTGGTGTAATGCAATGTGTTTACGCGGTTTAAGGTTCAAAAACACATTATTTTCCACATACTGTACATTATTGTTGCTCCTCTATGCCCTGCCTTTCTGAAACGGTCGATTTTTACAAAGCTCATCGGTCTGAAAAGCGCTGTGTGCTCTGATTGGCCAGCTATCCAGTGCGTTGTGATTGGCCGAATACCTCAAGCGTGTGACGGAAATGTTATGCCACTTACCAGGTCCAGGAAACTTTCCTCCGTAAAATGTGCTGCACGCACTCGAATATTAAATAAAACATAACCACTGATTTCTAGTTGTGTCCTCTTTTGAAAGGCCAAACAAAGTAGGCTTTTGCAACGAAACACACAGCGTCTCCACAATATGGCAAGAATCAAAGTTACGCCTTCATTCTTTGCGTATACATTTGGGCAGTGTTATGCAAATCTTCCAACACAGTGATGTAGATATGTGTGGGCGTGTTTGAACTAGGCGTTTTAGGAAGGCATGGACGAGCATTCACTTTTAGAAAGAATATCTCTTTGGATTTGAGACTTTAATCTTTGCGAATTTACGGGTCTGCTGTATGCACGAACAGCTTTTAACACTCCAGAGACAAAGGAAAACATGAAATCGCAGCATATGACCCCTTTAATTTTTGGTTTCACAACAGAATAGCAAAGCTGAAATGACTTCACTTAGTGAGTTTATACGCGCTCCGAAGCATTGATTTAAAACATAAACTGCTATAGTCCTGAGGTTCCTACGGGTACCGGCACATGTAGGAGTACTAGGAAATGTGGAAGTTTGTGGAAGTCGTGGCCTAATGGTTAGAGAGTCGGACTTGTAACCCAAAGGTTGCAGGTTCGAGTCTCGTACCGGCAGGGATTGTAGGTGGGGGGAGTGAATGTACAGCGCTCTCTCCCACCTTCAATACCACGACTGAGGTGCCCTTGAGCAAGGCACCGAACCCCCAACTGCTCCCCGGGTGCCACAGCATAAATGGCTGCCCACTGCTCCGGGTGTGTGTTCACGGTGAGTGTGTGTTCACTGCTGTGTGTGTGCACTTAGGATGGGATAAATGCAGAGCACTAATTCCGAGTATGGGTCACCATACTTGGCCACATGTCACGTCACATATTTTTAAATGAAATAGTCGATAAACTGGCCAAACAAGCAATGAAACATATGAACGTTGAGGTACAAATTCCACTGAGTAAAGTAGAAATAAAAGGAAGTATTAAAGAACACATGAATAAAAAGTGTCAGGAAATGTGGGACAAGGATTTAAAGGGCAGACACTTATACAATATCCAAAAACAAGTTGGCAAAGGGAGAATATGCTTTAACAATAGAAAAGAAGACATAATTATTACTCGACTTTGAATAGGACATCCTGGTTTAAATCATTCATTATTCACAATAGGGAAACATCAGTCAGGATTGTGTACTACATGCAGTGAAGCAGAGACTATTGAGCATGTACTTCTACATTGTGCAGTATATACCAAAGAAAGAGAGGAGAAGAAACTGAGAAGCATAGGAGTATTTATTTTCACTATATCAAATCTTTTAAGTTGTGCCTCAGGACAGACAAGTATTATGAGAGAAATTCTTAGTCATCTGAAGATAACAGGATTAGAAAATAGAATTTAAATTTCATATCAATACTACCTTTTTTTCTCCCTCTTTTCCCTCTTTCCCGTTAATGCTTCACACTCCAATCCAGTTGGTGGCGGTAATTCACCATAAGTTGGCTTGTCAACCGCCATTAAATCGTACAAGAAGAAGAAGAAGATTGGAAACATGAAAAGATTCATTAAAGGGGTCCTATTATACTCTTTTACAAAGTCTAGATTTTGTTTTGGGTGGGTACTAGAACAGGCTCTCATACTAGGTTGTTCAAAAAACGAGCCATTCGTTGTAGTTTTTGAAAAGTGATTTCTGTTAAATAAAAGATCTCCTTTTAAAGTGGACTTTGAGCTTTGTAACTTTGCAGATCTTTTTTTATGCTCAAACAGCAACATTACAGACTAACTAAAGTTGAAGAAGTGAAAAAGCATAATAGGACCCCTTTAAGTTTTCGAAGCTTCGTTTCCAACGCGCCTGCCACGCTCTGGGCGCCTCATAGTTCACTAGGCCATGTCGCTTCTCTACAATTTATTAAACGCTTCAGAGGATTTACTTGATTTCCCATTCACAAAAACAAAGCTTTTTGCTTTGTTTAGAGGTGACAGCCATAAAAAAGGACAAAGATAATCGCTTCCACCCTTCATGCAGGCTCTTGGTGAAAACAGCCATCTTGAAAGAAAACAGTTCAAAACAGGCAGCACTTTAAACGTGACTGACCCGTATACACACAAAGACATGCCGGCCTGATTACACACCCCAAAACACATGCATGCCTGTCGGATCTCATGGTTTAACAGAGCTCTCTATAGTCTCTGGACCCTGTCAACACAATTTACTTAATATTCACATAAACAATTCTTTCTCATAAATCCTCGAAAGGAGGGTGCAAACGTATAAACATGTTTAATATGGGTATATCAACAGAAAACTGGTTGTACTCTGACAAGCTTTTTAATCCGGTATGCCTTTTTAATAGCAATTGAATGGTGGCTGTTTATTATTGAAAGTTTGCATGAAACAGTATGGATGTGCCATAACACAGGGATTTGTCCTATTAAATTAAGGATTTAGTGAATCTGTACTGTTGTGGTTGACCAACGTTTTTTTTTTTTTTAATGTTCATTGATGATATCTAGTATGCAGAGGCATAGGATACTTAAAAATACTCAGATTAAATTAATCTTTCATGTATTTTTTTACTCGCCAAATAATCTCAAATTAGCACAAAAGGGACAGGTACCCTAATATGAATCATATCTGATACATTAAGCCTCTAAATTATCAACATGATCAAACCCTTGCTGAAAAACTGCACACAATCTACTGCATGCCCTCTGTCGTCTGACTGACAAGTTATACATACATATTAGGGGTGTAAAGATATTCAAACCGAACGGAAAAACCGCTGTACAATTGAAGCTTTATTTTATTTAAAGATTTATTTTATTTGTATCTTTGCTCTACTGTATTTATTTGTGCTGTTGCTTGTAGTTTGATTATTTGTTAGTTTTCTTTATTTTTATTAGACCATAATAATTTTTCCTTGAACATAGCACATACCTTGTATATATACCGTATATACAGTGCTGATCCTAGACTTCTGGGGGCCCTATACGCAAAACTGTGGGGGGGAGTGGGGTATGAGTGGTAATGAACGAATGAATTAAATGCATTTGTCTGTGTTTCACTCTGTCTCGAATCGCGCTCGCTGAAAGTGCTTGAGAAACAGTGTCTCTTCCGCGGCTCGGTACGCTTTCAACTTGTTTTTAGTCTCGAGCAAGATTGTACGACATTCACATTAGCCTACCTGATTTGACTGATTTTTACTTAGAAAGGGCGACAGCGCACCACATTAAAAGAAATAATCATTCATGTTTTCATAACCGCTGGCCAAATTCAAAAACAAAACAAAAATTAAATCATCTTTGAGAGCAACGGGGCCCCCTGGTGTTTCGGGGGGCCCTACGCAGCTTGCGTATTTTGCGTATATAGGGAGGATCGGCTCTGTATATATAGTTAAAATCTTAGTAGAATTTAAATATCATCTACTAAGACATAAAGTATGACTGGTAGAAATAGAGCGACAGCTATTTTTTATATGCATATTATGTAAGTTGTCTGTAATACTGTTATAAAAAAATCTCATTGATTTACATGACAGTCCGAATTTCATCTTATTTTTGGCCATGCAAATAACAACATCTGCACCAAATTGCAAATTTTTGCTCGGTTTGGCCTCAAAATGAAATATAGGTGTTTTTTCCTCCTCGGGTATGAGCTTCTTATTCTCACTTAAATGTTCCATTAAAAAAAAAAAAAACTAGACTAATCTGATTATTATTTCATCTGTCAGGCTTTACAAAGTTCATAGGTAATTTGTACTTTTTAGTAATGATAATTTCTGTTTTCAAATGTTTTCCCAACTTCTCGCTTTGACAGAAATGTTTTTGCAGACCTCTATCTCTTTCTGGAAGAGAACCAGTTATCTGATTTTCACAAACGCAGATGAGCAGATCAGCCATTTAGATG